ATGTGGCAATTTCATCCCTATGCATCTAGTTAATGGGTTTTTATATAGGTTAAATTTGGAGGATATCAGTCCACATGGAAATATAAAAAAAAAAAAAAAGATTAAAAAGTATCCCAGTACTTTTCTGTTTGATTAGTTTTATCCTCCCTTCCCCATCAAAAAACAAGCAACAAAAACAAAAACACCTTGTTATTTGCACTCTCTGTGTATCAAGGTGGTTTTTGTCATTATTCTTGGATTAAATATGGGGACCCAGATTTCTCATTCTAGGTAGTTTTTGAACTGCCTGGAGTAAATATGATGATTTTCCCGATAGAAGTGTGTCCAGTACGTACTCTGGTTAACTCATTGTAAGAGTACTCAACCTTTCACTTTAGTTTTGTTTAGCATTCCAGCTACTAAAAACATTGTTTCAAATTACAAGCATGGAGGGCATCATAATTACAGGTATATTGAAAGCAAATGCATTTAACATTTATATCCTCCACTGTCAGATTTTGTTACAACAAAATATTTGTTACATTGGAAATTCACCATTAGAATATTGACTGCATGTTGGGTTTTAGGAGTTGAAAAATAATTGTTAAAATTTTTCCATTTCACATTTTTGTTTTTCAAGGAGGCAATATCACAAAGATAGACCTATATTTTCTGGAATTTGGAAAAATGAAAGCTTCATATAATAAAATCTCTAATTTTCAGGCTAGAATAGTGTTTTTAAAGAATGTTTGTGCCAGAGCAACCATTTTAAATAAGATATGTATATATAATCTTTAAAGAAGATTTTAGATATATACATTATGTAAGATAATATATATTATGTATATAGTATACATATAATAGGTTGCACTCACAGCTAAATTAATTTAATGACATCATGTTGGTACAATCATGCTTAACTTTTAGCGTTAATTCTACTTTCATTGAATGTACCTATCTAAAATGAAGACAAGTGTTTCCTTTGTACAAGAATTGTTTTGACAGACAGCTACAGAAGATAGAGAAATCTTTCAATACATCTGGTTGGTACTTTTTACTATACAAAATCCCTATTACTTGAAAAAAGGGGAGTGTACATTTCATATAAGATGTAAAAATTGATACTAGAGTCATAAAAATAAATTGATCATAATAATATATGGAATGGAGGGAAGATATAGAGATCCCTCACCATTGTAATTATTGTAGAAGACCAAATAATGTTCAGTCCAGGTAACTTTAAATGGAGCCTATCTATGGTATATCCAAGGCTCTGAAAAGAAAATGACAAGGCAAATAGTAAGAAATCAATGTCCTGGATCCAATACACTTGCAAATTAAAAATTTCTGCATGTCTCCACCATGAATGACAAGTAGTATTTAGAAAGTGTCATATCATGCTTAAGAATATATTCACCATATCACTCATCCACCCCCCCTTTCTAAGAAGATAGACATCCTTCACTTCCACTTTAAAAAGATCACTTCCATCTTAATAACTCTCACATTCTTAACATTTGGGTTTTCTGCAATATTTGCATGTATCTCCCCCCTTTCTTAGAGGTTTAATTATATCCAACCTCACGTTGATGGAAGTTTCTTTATATTATCTTTATACTGCAAACATTTTCATAAGATGTTTATTATGAAATGAGAAGAAAATAATTATTTTAGGAATTATTATTTTCTCTAAAGATACTTTAATCTCTTTAGGAAATATTAATTTGGATTTAGTCTTTTCCTAAATTTGCTTTATTTCCCATTTTTCTTTCCCTCACTTACTCTGTTCACTGCAATTCACATTCTTTCTCCTGTTTTAACACATTGAAATTGTTCTTTGTTTTCCCATTGTCTCCTTCCATTCTTACCAGTTTCAATTTAAGCTTTGGAAAAGATAGAAAGAAGAAATCTCAAAGATTACAGAGACTTCTTCAAAACAAAACTTTTATGTTTGTGGAATACAAAGAAACATGGATTTCAGTTCATTCTTCTTTAAGTAAAGGAAGATTAAAATTTTGACATACACATGATTGCCATTTTTAGATGGTTTTAGAGACATATACATTTAAATGATTATAACAGCATGAACTTTAATTGTTTGAAAATATGTTTCCCCATCTTATCAGACTCAGGAATTTAAATGAGACTAGTTTTGGGTTTCTCAATCCCTTTTATTTTCAGAAAATTTGACAATTTTAAATACACTTCCTTTTAAGTCTTAATCCCTATCAAGCAATACTTTGATATGATATGACATTGTTATATGACACATTGGTTGATCCTAAGTGAATATGATTTATCCCTCACATTTTGCTGTAAAGAGTTACAAAGATGCTTCCTTTTTTCGATGTGATGAAATCTAATAAGAACTGACATGTACATTAGCTTAACTCTGTATCAAAATCAATATAAGCCAAGAAAATAAACAACGTAGAGTTAGAAGGACAAGTGCATGTGTAGATCAAACACAAGCAAATGCCTCAAAGTATTCTTCTGTTTTAAAAAAAAAGAATGTTTGAGCTTATGCTCATAAAATTAAAAACAAGGAGCAACACAGGTAGAAGGTAATACAACCATTTCTATCTAGTTCACACAGTTTAAGAAGTCACCCATTACCCAATATATATTTGGAGAACCTGAAAGTGATTTCTCATTTTCTGGCATGAAGCTAGCTCCTGCACCGCAAAACACACCTGTGTAATCCACATGCCTATTTTATTCCTCAAGGACAATTGACATAAGCCAGTGCAGAAAGCTACATCTCATTAACCTCTTTCTTGAGTTTATATTCCCATATCATCTGTTTCAGCATTTCACTGAGGGAAGTTTGTCATAATGCAGCAGCACTTTCTTTTTTAACTTTAAACAAGATTTCTCTTTTTTTCCCCTTTTTTTCCAAATAAGACCCACCCTTTTTACTTTTGATAGATAGCTGGCACAATTTTAGCTCCTTCCTAACAGTTAGGAAAGTTGTGTTAAATATACATAATAGTGGCAAAGTGTTGGTCTACGACTATTTTTACTTGTGCTATCTTATAATAGTACTTTTTATACTGATATGATGATATATGACACTATTTTAGTTCCAGGAAAAAGTAACAATTCTTTTCCATATGCCCTTTTTATATCTTAGATGTCCCTGTCCCTCACAGAACTAAATTTGCATCAAATTGTTATCTTTTAAGATATTTAGTTTTCTATCTAAGGAGAAAATCGGAGGTCTGTATGTTTACCTTTTTATGATATATATAATTCTCTTCAGGTATTCATTCTAATCATTGCAGTGACAACTCTTTCCCTCATAAATACATCCAAAATCACTGAGGACTTAGTTCTAGATGAGGTCAAATTTGCAGAGATTGGGTACTTAATCAGAAAAAGCCCAAGAGCAGGAGTCTGCAGTGCCATTATATTCTGCTAGCTCACAGGGTTGAAAAGCTTCATTCTGTTCTTCTGCTCTGGTCCAACTTCAAAGATTCTTCCTAAGAAAGGTTGAGAGCTGATTGTTCCAGATCAAAGACATCATCATTTCAAGTTAGAGCTATATGCTTCCATTTTATCAGTATAGTTTTCAACTATTCCACACCAACTTCAAGGCAACTTAAGACAAGTTTAGAAGCTATGTGGTTAGGTGGCAATGTTATGTTTAAAAGATTATCACTCAGTTAATGTCAAATTTTCTAAAGGAACTAATATTAGTCTCACCACTGGTAAAGGAAACGTGTGAGCACATTATAAAGATCATAATCTGGTTGCCAACAGCAGATTGGGTAGAAAGACTACAATTCATTCTCCTGTTCTCTCCTATAATGAAGCAATAATTTTTAGTCAATTCATAATCCGCTTCATGTGAACACAGTCACTAAATCTCTCAATGCAACATTTTGCCTATTTACTTGACATTGGGATCCAGGATCCTTTCTATCTTTGTTACTTCTATTTTTTTTTTTTTCTAATTAAACATCACTGACAACAACAGCAAACCAAAATATTATCAGTCAATACGAATATATATATGTATATATGTATATAAATATGTATATATATATATAAAGCCTAGATCCGTGATACTCCTGATTTTACTCTAGGGAGTTAACCATTCCAATGCCAGTGGCCCAAATATTCATCTACCTCCCCCCACCTTTTTTTTCATTCGTGCAACTGTTTTCAAAGATTGTCAAACTTGCACAGGGATTCCTGGGTTTCCAGATCAAAAGTTTACACAATCTAGGTTTATTAACATTCCTACCTCCTCTCTCCTCGGCTCCCCATACACATTCCCATTTAAACTTCTACCATTCATCAGCTATTTTGAAACAAACAAACAAGCAACAATGGCAAAACGCCAATGGTGGGTAAACAACGTCATCTGGTGCCTTGAGCTGTGCCACAGACCTTCAGAATCAAGAAAGTCAAGTTCAAGCAGGTGCCTGAGCCCAAAAGCGCCCCGAAAGCCTAAGCCTCTCCGCTGATGACTGGAATCTCACTTGGGTCTGCCCCAGAAGGGGCTACAGAAACGAAAGGGGCTTTAGTGGGCACTTTCCCCCGTCCACACACCCTGGGTGCAGCAGGTAGGGAAGTTCACCTCGAGCTAACTTGACGGAGCACACACAACGCGGAGAAGCCGGAGCCTGCAAAAGCTAAAAGCTATGAGACTCCGCGCCTAGGGAAGTCTTGGAAAAGCGAATTCTGATTCCAGCATCTGCAGCGCTTGGGTGCGCGGGCAGAAGCGCGCAGTCAAGTCCAAACGGTCCCAGTGGGGGACAAAATAAGGGCTGGTAAATGGCCAAAGGAAAAAGCTTGGTGGGGAGGAGGAAGGAAGCCGAGGGCTCTTGCACTGGTTCAGAAATCGCCCACCGCACCTCTCACCCCATCGAGGCCGGAGCACAGTGGCTGGCCAGCCAGCCAGTCCCGGGGAGCGGGGCCACAAGGACTTAAGTTTCACACTCACTTATCTACAAGCATCGCCCAGCAGGAAAGCCGAGGAAAAAAGGGGACGCCAGGAGGGAGTTATTCCTTACCTCGGTCTGCTCCCACGGTCAGCACCTGGGCGACAGGCAATAATCCCGAGAGAGTGAGTAAGGCGAGGAGAAACTCGGACATTGTGGTCGCTCGGTAAGGAAGCCTGCGCTGGAGACTGCTCCGCGGCGCCCTCGGCCCGGCGGCGGCGGCGGCTCGGAGCTCCGAATCGAGCAGCGTCATTTACAAATGTCACTGGAAATTCTTCAGCTCAATGAGCCCAGCCAGTCCGCCTTCTCCTGCCTGGAGCAGGATGTGGAAGGTGTACGGATGCGCGCGTGGGGGAGAGAGAGAGTGTGTGTGAGCGCCAGCGAGCCGCTCCTGTGTCTTGACTTTTCAATGCAGGGTACGTCTGATCTTACATCACGCAAAGAGGGGCAGTGAGAGATGCCAGCGGATGGGAATTCACTGATTAATCACCGAATCCACCACACACCCCTTCGTCGTCCACATAAATCACATCTATTACTTAGTAAGAAGCATTTAACACAACAGGAAAATACCACCGCGAACTGAGAGCACCACAAATCGCAATTATTTCAGTCTCCTTGAAGGGAAAGTAACTCCAAAGCTGGTTCTGTAGGGATTTGGGTCTTGAGAGAAGGGGGAGACTTCTGCATTGGGCTGAGCCAGCCAAGCGCCTAGGAAGCTCCGCATTTAACAGCCAGCTCGGAATTATCAGCTACAGCGCTGGGATGCTTTTCTCGGCAAAGCAGATTTGGTCCCTTCCCTCCCGGAAGCTTCCTTCCCGGTAAGGAAGGACAAGCTAAGTAACTGAGCTTCTCTTACAAAAAAAAAAAAAAAAAAATGGTTTCATCTGCTCAACACACATACGCAAAGCTTTTTGAATTGCTCTTTTAACTTTTATGCTGAGTAGCACCTGGGGACAAAGATGCAAAATATAGTGACTCAGCAGAAACAAAACCCAAAACAATCCCCAAAGTCATTACCCCTTGCATAAGAAGGGAAAGTGAATGGAAAGGGGTCCCTACGCAGGGAATCATAGAGCAAAGGATTGGCACTTTGTTTTGTTGCCCTGGATTTCTCTCTTTAAAAGGGTTCCTCAAACCATTTTAAACATGTGTTGGGGATTTTTTTTTTTTTTTTACTGTTTTTGCTTTGTTTTTCTTTTTCCACATAGTACAGTTATAGTTTAAAAACTTCCCCAAACCATCTGAGGCATGAACATGAATCAGTGGAATTTTAAAAAAAAAAAAAAAAAAAAAGGTTGTTTGTATGACCACTTGAGTTTTTCAATATGATGGCTCAAAAACCTAAAATTTTAGTTAGCTATTCAGAAATGGCTAACGAGTTAAAATTCAGAAATCTTAATAGTTGAAGGCTTATTTTTTCCTTGTAACATCCATAACTCTTGCCTAAGAGCTAAGGTTGAAAAATGTTTCATATTTGATATTTTGAAACTTGAAATGGATGTAAGGAAAACTATAAGAAAAGAATAAAACTAAGGAACAGAATGATTGAAAAGCAAAGGAAAGATACCCTAAACACTCTGTACTGTTTACTGGTTGAAATAATACAGATGAATGCCAGCACCATGAGCTGAATTACCCAAAACATATTTGGAGGCTCCTTAGAAGTCATTAAAATTAGACTGGATCAAAGAACCCAAAGGTGACTCTAAAGGAAATTGCCAAGAATATGTGAAATTTGCCATTCTATACTTACACTGTGATTATAAAATGTCCTTTATATCATTTTTGCCATACTGTAAATTTTAAATTTGATGTTCCCTTGTATATCAAACCATTTAGTGTCTAAAAAGATGACTCCTTGCACCTTTAAAAGTGTATGTTTTCTTTTCTTCTAAAGTTGTTATGTGGGTAATTTCACCTAGTCATTTTTACTTTTCACAAAAAGATATACCATATAGGAAATATAAAAAGGTATTTTTCCTATTTTACTTCATACTAAAAATTCACAAACTTTGGACTGAGTGGCAGGGTTCAAAGAATATGGAGCAACAGTAGAGGAGGAAGGGTAAATTTAGAATGATGCCCAAAGTAACAAATATTTCTTTCTCAAGTGTGCACAGACATCTGCATTGCATGAAATATTTATCCTTTCATTGGGATGAAGTAAGGAGGTGTTTTTCTGACATGATCCTATTCGGTCAACTCGGAGGTCAGCTATTAGGAAATCTATATCCACTTAAGTCTTGGCAGTAAAATGAGGAGTGTTCACAAACCATGCTAAGGACATCCAGATTCTGCTTCTTCTACACTATTACCACCAATTACCTCCCATCTCAAAATTGCAAAGTAGAAGAGAAAGTAGCCAGGAACAGAACAACCAAAGACTTACCATGTACTCAAGTTCTATGACGGAAAATCAGTGACTCATTCACTTCTGTGATATATGTAGCAACCCTGAATTCCACTGTCAACTCTTAAAAGGAAAAGTTACGAAAGATAATCAGAGCAGTGAATACCCAGAAGATTTTGTATTCTAATGTATATTCTAAATATGCTACATTCTAAATATGTAGTGCCTCCTAATAATAAAACTACTAAGTAAATTAAGCAGAGTAACAGCCACATGATCTCTTTTACATCATCTGCTTTACTTTTTAACTGCCCTGAATAGAAGAAAATCAAGGATGCATTGTCTACACATTGTGATCAGAATAACAGCAAAAAACAAAATTCCTTTTTAGTGATCACCAATCAAATTGCCATATGTGAATGACACATGACTCAAAATTGTGGTGTAAGATTGTGGAAGTTAGCATACAAAAAAAGTAAGTTTAGCATAACAATGAAAGGTGATGACTCATATTTAACATCAACTATGAATTATTCTCAATTCTATCAAATAAAATTTGGGGCTTATTTTAGGAATGTGAGTAGATGTTACTAACAAAGACCTAAATGGTATAAAAACTCTTCATAGTAACTGGGTAGAAGAATGGATGCTTAAATATGTTTCAGTGGTCAAGTGGACATTACACATGCATTTAGATGTATGTCAAGCAGATTTTTTAAGACAAAACTTATAATAAGGAATAGTTTCATATCCAAAGCCATAATAATACATAATAAATATATTCAAAATTAAGATTAGTAGATACAGTTATTATTTATAATAGATACATGGTCTAAAACTAAAATAAGGCCAATGTCAAAATAAAATTGTCTCCCATCAAATCACTTGCATGTTGTAGTTCTTCACTGAAAATGACCAACTCGGGGCACCTGGGTGGCTCAGTCATTAAGTATGTGCCTTCAGCTCAGGTCGTGATCCTAGTCCTAGGATGGAGCCCCACATGGAGCTCCTCATCACACTCCCTACTCAGCAGAAAGCCTGCTTCTCCCTCTCCCACTCTCCCTGGCTGTGTTTCCTCTCTCACTGTGTCTCCCTCTGTTAAATAAATAAATAAAATTTAAAAAAAAAAAAAAAAAAGAAAGAAAGAGAAAGAAAGAAAATGACCAACTCATCAGAAGAGATAGTTTTCATGAGAATCTAATGAGGTTGATAAAAGTATAGACCAAATTAGAGTTTTAAAATTAAATATTTTTTCCAGGTTTCGAGTGACCATCAAATATAATGGCCTATAAATAAAAGGGAAACATAAGTATATTTCTCTATGAAATGCTTTTATTTCCCATCATATATACTTCAGTGAAAATGAAAATTAATAAAGTATATTATTAGTGAAGAGAGAATAGCAAGAGTTACTGTTCAAATTCTGTTTGTTTCTATGGTCCATTATAATTTCTTCATTCTAATCAGAGTTATTAACACTGACAAGTTAAATAAATTAATTCATCAAACTATAGAATGTTATGAAATCTTTCATTGAGATAAATTAAACAAAGTAGAACCAATCATTCTTACTTTCTGGTCTAAAACAACACACGAATATTAATTATCAGTCAGCAGTAATCTCATACTTCCCAATTAGAGCCATGTTTGCGTACATGTGATCAAACATCAGATTCCATTTCTGCTAACTTGATTATTTTCTTTGTGCTGTTAGTTTGTTTTGTTTTGTTTTGTTTTTACCATAGATAATAACAAGGCATGCACTACACACCTGAAAGTCATGTTAGGAGAAGGGTGCCCGTCTGAACAAACCAAGCCCGACAGTCTGTCTCAGGAAGTGATGTGTGTAAAGGAGAGTTGGCCAGAGAACCAGGTTGCTAGGATTTTCTGCAGCTATCATTCCAAGGGCGGCTAGAGTGCTTACCCTGCCTTTCCACACAGAAAAGTTGCCAGGCAGCTGCAGACACAGGATGAGAAGGAAAAGGAAGGCTTGGTGGGGGCGGGGGGGGGGGGGTGCATACTGAGAACTGTTAAAGAACATTATTAGTGCTTAAAATTGAAACAAAGTTACTTACTCTGGACAAAGCCACTAAGAAAAAAGAACTTTCAATTCATTTTATCTCTCAAACTACAGCATTTCAATGCACATTTTTAATTGCTTTCCTTCAAAAGTGAGTTATACCTGTTTGATAGCATGCTGTTTCGACTGAGACCTGGGGATTCAGTCCAGATAAATAAGATTTGGGTGCAACTTTAATTCCTACCATTTGACAAGTATGGGGAAGTATGTATAACTGAGAAGAAAGTGAAGTGTGATGCAAGTACCCACTTAAACCTGGAAAGTAAAAATATTTCCAGACAAATTAAGTTTTTCTCTTTACATAAGCCTCAACTTATCTTTACTGTCATTATCTATAAACATATTAAGATGTACATATTGCAGTGAAAAGCATAACTGATACTCAACTATAAGGTTCACAGGATAAATAATTAAAAAAGTGTTTACTATTGATTCAATTGTTTTACACGTTCTCTGACTCTTGTTTGACAAACTTTTGACAATAGGAAGGAAAGGAAAGGCGTTTTTGCTGACTCAGAAAACTTTAATCAGGCAACAACTGACTTCCAAAATAATAATAATAAAGACTCAAGATACAAATCCTATGTATCCTATCCTTCTCGGGTACCTTTTTAGAAAGCACAATCAGCAATACCGCAATCCACATATGTGGGGAGCAGGGGAATACAAAAAGACCAAAAGTTCATTAAACCCTTTTCACTCTAATTTATGGAAATAGCTCTGAGTTTCAGGTTAGTTGCTGGTTACAAGGCTTGTTGATGTCAGTGCCTTTTGACCTGAGGTACATTTGACCTGTACATCTCCATCTCCAGCTGCCAAAAATAGAACTGGTGTTTTGTGCTGGGGTTGGCTGTCAGTGGTCCATTATCAGTATGCACTTCACTTGAATGAGCCTTGTGGTCTTTTTCAACCTGCAAATATTGATCTCTGTCCTTTCAGTCATCTTTCTAATCCTTAGTTTTAATTAGAAACTCCTAGAATGTTGGAACTGGAAGGAACGTTCAAATCACTTCTTCCAGTTTGCTACATTTTACAGATAAGAAAAGTTAAAGATAGGAAATGGGACTACTCTGAGGTCACACATATTATTAATATAAAAAACAGCCCTTGAATAGTTTCCTTTTTCCTATATTATGTAGTGAGCTTTGTTGATATTCCTCTAGATTTTTCCTAGCTCAGAGGAATGGTAGCCCAGGCAGTTTGAATTAGTTCATTCCCTTAACAGCTACAGATGATATAACAGCCACTCCACTCAGCACCGTGCAAATAACTATATAGAGGTCCTTGCACTAGCAGAACTTACAAACCAAATCAAACATCATTTCTCTGCTAATGGACTGACTTTCCAGGATCTTGTGG